GCCCCTCCCTATTTTCTGCAGTCTTCCTCCTTGACTTGGTTGATATCCACCTGTTCCTAGATTCCGCCCTAATCATTTACATGAATGACATCTTAGTTTTCTATCTTACTCTGGATGCAACTGTTTATGACCCGAGAACAGCCCCCCATTGACTGATTCGCACCAAATTTGGAGAGTCCTTCTGCAGTTCCCTTCTACAGTAGATTTTAATTTTTTATGATGATTGGCTGAAGCATGCATGAGATATATGTCATGGTACGTGCAGCACGGATCGGGAAAGCAGGCGAACAGAAGCCAGGGATCGGGGAATACGGAGTTTAATGCCAAAACACAGAGCACGCAACAAAACAACATCAATGACAGGACTCGGGATACAAACGGAAACGCGGACTAAATACACTGAACTAATGACAACAATCCGAAACAGCTGTAAAACACTGGGATTCCACATGAGGTTAACGAGGGGGCGTGGCACATATTAGGATCGGACGAAGCGGGGTGTGACAATATAGCTGATAGAAAAGGGCATGGCACAGGTATAGTCTGGGTGTGGCCGGTGGCCAAACTGTAGAAGTAGTTTAAGATATTGATAATAATTATTTATAATGACTGTCTGCTGATTCCATTGATAATAAGTTTATATAGGCTGGGCAAAAATCCTAGGACGAGTTAGAAAAAACCTGCATTCAGTCTCATATGAAACAAGCGAAAATGGAAAGAGGTACATCCACGTTCTATATGTTGTTTGATTTTGCATAACATACTGAATTGGCATGGCATAAAATTTCAACAGTAAGTTTTATAGTACAAGAGAAGTAGGCAAAAATACAAAAGGTGTTATTTTATTAATTAATTGTTCAGTTACTGGAAGATTGAATTCCAGGATATGACTGGAATTTATTAGTTACAGTATCACTACTTAAATTTGGTTAGAACGTTTGTCCTGCAAACGTAACTCTCACATTATGAAAACTAACAAAATAGCACTGCCTGCTTTGGATCCTTAAAAAAAGGAAAATCCTACCAAAAACAATAGTGGCCCATAGCACTATGTGCTTTGGACCCCTAATAAAAATAATATTATTGAAATACTATAAGTAAACTCCACCATGGAAAGTCCCAAGCCTGGCTGAGGAAGGAGGAGGATTTGGCATGGGGCTAGCTACCCCATCCCGTCAAAAAATCCTTAGCTACAGAAATGCCAACAAGAGATCAGGACATCTTAGTACTGGGAAGAGATGGGTCTTCATTAAGAAGAAGTATGATGCCGAATGGTGCAACTGCTAATCGGAAGGTACAAGGCCAACTACCCATCTGTCCACCAGGGAGATTAACATCGGAACATGGAAGGTGCAAACCAACTATGAAGCAGAAACGCAAATGGCAGCAGAGATGCAAAGTTACAACCTTGGAACTAAAACTGAAAACTTGGAATCAGCGACACCTGATGGACACAGTCCGATCGGAAAAGACTTACTACAGGGGAGATGTTGCTCTACTTGGGACAAGAGGAGGATGCTCCACATACTTAATGAGTAGCCTTGATGTCGTCAAAAGTAGCACAGAGAGCACTCATTGGATGGGAAGGCCATGTCCCAGGGATCATCACAGCATTTTTCTGAACGAAGAAAAAGAAAATCATTATGAACATAGTCCAGTGTTATGCACCCACCAATGACAGTGACAGACAAGAAAACAATGAACAGTTCTACAGTAGACTATAGCCCATCCTGGAGTGTTACTCTGAGAGACATGTCACCATTCTGATGGGAGACTTAAACACAAATGTGGGAGATGACAACACTGGGAACAAAGAAGTGATGGGGAGACATAGCCTTAGTAACATAAATGGGAATGGGGAGAGGTTTGCAGACATGAGGGCAGCATCTTCTTGCACAGGAGGATACACAAAGCAACGCGGGTGTCACTGGACAGCTTTACTGAAAATCAGATAGATCACATCTGCATTGCCAAGAAGTTTTGGAGATCACTGCAGGATGTATGGGTAAAGCAAGGAGCAAGGAGTCCGGAGTGGTTGGGCTTATGACTTTTTGTCTCTGTGTGTGAGTGTCTATGTATGTTGTCGGGATGTGTGTATGGTCCATGTGCATGGCTGAGAGGTGTGTCTGCGGGGTGTCTGTGTATGTTGTGGGGATGTGTGTATGGTCTATGTGCACGACTGAGAGGTGTGTCTGCGGGGTGTCTGTGTAT